TTGTTATGCCAACTTCAAAGTAAAGTTAGCGGAAGGAAAAAAAAGATCTGATCATCAGAATTTTGTACAGTGAGATAGTTTACGGAGAAATTCAAATATCAGTGCAGATGATTTTTATGAAGAAGGTCTTCATACTGGTATGCAAACTCATTTATAGCATGAGAATGTTCAAGTTAAGATCATTCAATTTATAACAAATGGAAGCATGATTATTTGTTCATATTTATTTCACAGCAAGAAGATCTTGAATGCGTCATTATAAATACTGTGTTCTGCTGTAACAGTATGTATGTGGAAGTAGAAGGACTTGTATATTAATCAAACACTTGGATAGAATATTAAAATTAATTCTTTTCATTTCTTCATCAATTCAAGTTTAATCTCAATAGGACATGCTTATTCAGTTTTTAACCTGACAACTTTGCTCTAATAGTGTCTTCAGGATTTTCAGTGTCAAAGTGTACTAGAGGGGGATTATCTTACCCATACGTTTCTATCTCTTCTGCTAATACTTGACTATTTAAACATCCCAACTCAGTCATTTGTATTAATAGATGGTTATCGCTGTTTCTCATTAATAACTGTATTTCATTTCTACAAAGTTGAGACTTGCAGCAAGAATGTGGCTCCAATTATTTTTACACTTCAGCAACTGGAAACAAGAATTTTACCCAGATCACTACAGAGCAGGACTTACTAGAGTGTATAAAATGTTTTGATGGAGTTGGAGCTTTAGTTACTAATGCTACTGAACAGGTGTTTTAGCAGCTGATTTTAATTGGCAGAAGAAGGTGCTGAGATTTGTTATATTGGCAAGTCAGAATTAGTTCTCATTTGTCTAATAAGGATCTCTTAATACAGTACAGGCATTGTTTCATACTGTCTTTGTGAGGAAGCTTCCTAGCTGGATCCAGGTTACCACATAAAATACTGGGATTTTGACTGGAATTAGATTGCTATCATGACAAACAAAAATATTAATAACACAAGAAACTGCTGAAAAAGTGTCACAAAATATATCTGCCTGCAAATGCCTTTCTTCATGAGGATGTTTAATAGAACTCAAGCAAAACTAGAATCCTGAATGTCTCCAGAGATGCATTTATGTGTGAGAGAGATATGTATGCACATGAAGTACCTGTACCTGAGCTTTCCTACACTCCCAAGATGTGCTTATTACTTCTGATCTCTAACTGGTATGAAAGTATTTCTGGTTGTGAACATGTTATACTATTTTCGTGAGAAACCTCTAATTTTATCCTGAAGCGTACATGATGAGATGTGAAATAAATTTCTTTTTATAAGTGTTCACGACATCAGCTAAGAGAATACTGCAGTTCCACATGATATATATGGAAAGAAAACCACAGAAAACGCAGTTTACATTGTGATACAGGGAGAACAATAGATGAAAGGAATGAATAAACTAGAAGCTGATTAAAAAGACCAGTTATTTTAAGCTGTTTTCTATAGATGCCTCTCAGGCAGAACTTGACACCAAGACAAAATCAATGAAACTGAATTCGTATCCAAACAAATGCTGGACAGATCAATCAGGAATGCTTAAAAGCAAAACAGTGACCTGCTGGGAAGAAGGAATTGATTGCCTCAGCAGGTTGTTTTTTTCTTCAGAATGGGCTAAGGTGAGAATGTAGAAGAGAATCTGAGCCTTTAATACTTAGACATTCCACTGCTGAACAGGGTAATGCCTAGCAAGCATCCGGCTGTCTGCCAGTCTCAGCCTAGAAAATCAAACCCTGTTAAGACTTCAGTGGCTGAGATTGTAATAGAATGAAAAGAAGAGTGTTATATTAAAACTTGATCAGGTGTAACTCAGATGTCAGGACTGGGGGTGGATGTTCTGGAAGAGTTATTCCACAGCAGTTACTTCCTGGTTTAGGTTTATGTATTTTAAATATCTGTTTTAATCAGAGTAAAACTATCAACTATAGGTGAACCCTATCTCAACCCTAGAAAACTAGCCTAGAGACTGTTTTTGCTGAGTGAGACAAGTGGGAGGATTTGCAAACATTGTGCGTAGGTATGCTTACTCCTTCCCCCTCAACAATTGGCAAAACCACGTTCAGAACAAGTGTCTCAGTTTCATCTTCACGTGCATTTGCCAGGAGTACTGACAGAATCATTTTAAGGTCTTCATACCTCTGCTCAAGAGTTCATGGAATGTCTGACCTGTCGAACTGTCAGTGGGTTTGAAAAGGTGTCTTGTTTAGTGCCAGAGACTCTGTAAGTGTTATTTGACCTCAAGACCAGAACTAAATTATTATGTCTAGTAGTAGGAGACAGAGAAGATGGGAGAGGAGTCTTTTTCTCCTACTTCATTATCATGGACTTTGGGGGGGTTTGGTCAGTTTATTACCAAATTTAGTAGTCAAGCTTTATGGGTATTACTTGAAAGTCAATCTTTTAATTGTAGACTAAAAAGCTGGAGCTGAAACAGACCAAAGGAGATGGCAAGTTTTCACGTCAGGTTTCGAGAAGGGAGGATGGAAAAAGGCTTAAGATATGTAGTTTAAAATGTATGACTTTAAAAAATATTCTAACGGGGTTTTTTTCCTGTGCAATATCTATTTCCAGTGAAGTTGATTTCAGCTCGTTTCCTTTTTCATGCTAAATGCATGAAGATCTAATTCTTAAGATATAGTTTCGTTTCTGTAAACCTACATAACATAATTATTTGTCTTAGAATTTGGATTGTCATTTTAAAAATTAGTTAAGACATTTAAAACAAATTATCTCTAATTTGATTATTAGATATATCTTGTTCTGGAGTAGCATAATTTAAATAAGCAGAATTACTTGCAAATTTTGTCCTTCATTCACAGAGAGTGGTGTTCATTTAATTATCCTGAGATGATCTCATTTCCTGAGCCATGCCTATCAGGGCAGACTGATATTCATTCATATCTTCATTTGAGGGGAATTCATTTTGCACCTCTTGCACTTCTTTGAATCACATTTTTCCTCCAGAAGGGGAGAGTGACTTCCCTTTGGGCTGACGCTAATGTAATTTTCTGGAGATGCCAGCAGGAGGAGCTTGTGTGTTAAAATGTACTTTGAATAAAGCAATCACCAAATTATAGTAATTGAACATGACACCGCGCTTTTCTTCTGCAGTGTAAACTACCATGTATCCATAAAGTAGCTATCTGTCTGCCTGAGAAAGCTACAGTATTATAGCAGTGGCCATCATGCTGGTAAATTAACCTATTTTAGATAGAGAAAAGCCCAATGATGAGAAAATTTAATTTTATTCCATTGTATGTTTGATATATGGATGCTTTTATGTTTACATGTTCTGAAGAAAATGTAAATTTTACAGAAAATGACAACACTCTGAAGCCAGTGTCCTGTGCTCTATTTTACAAGCATTAGAGTATCAACACTACATCACTGCAATTTTATAAATAGTATAAAAATGAGTAATAATATTCATGTTACTAAAAGAAATCCATACTAATGAGCATAGCTGAAATTGGATTCACATGATCAGAATTCTCTACAGCAACTTAGATAGCATTGCTGAATTTTTCAAAATAAGAAATCATCGGACTTGGGTACCAAGAGTATATGCTATATTAATTTTTAGAGTTTTTATTTGAGTGACAAGAAGAATAAGGAGGATGTATACCACAGGTATTTTATGCAGTTTTTTTCTAAATACTATAACAGGACTGTGGTGAATCTCAATTTAGAAAAATTCGTTATTATTTTGACTGAGATTATTTTAGACTGTTCAGAAATGTAGACTAGTAAAATATACTGCCATTAATAAAAATTTTATTTTCTGTTAATGTTTATCATCTGAATTGGACACCTTTTTCTATACTGATTTTTTTATTATTATTTTAGTGAGCTACAGCCAATGTGTGCCTTGTAGTCACAAAGCTCATGGCTACCAGAGACACAGGTGTCTTGCAGAAGGGCTCTTCATCCTGCAGGTAGATTTGCCACTCAGTCCCAGGACTTCTTAAAAGCTTTTGCTTTGTGAAGATCTCTCCCATATGGGTGCTCAAAATGCTTGAGGGGAGCCTGAGTGTGCCTGTGGCTTTTTTGGGGCTGTCTGACCTGCAGGAAAAAGGGAACTTCATAAATTCAGTGATTGTTTAAAAATATATATGTATATATATACACTGGTTGAATCTGACAGGCACTGCAGATGAGCGGTTCCTCCCTTACGGGCTTATTAACACACTCTGAAGATAAGTAATGAGTTTGGAGGGGGGGTTAACTTGGAACAATAAGCTTAGCATTGTATGCTTCATAATTTTATTGCCTGAGTTGCAAAATGCAGAATTAATTGTTATTTGTTGATCTGTATGTAAGCTCTATAATTAAAAACCATGTGGAGTCCTCTAAAAGAATGGCAAAAGTACAACGATATCCCTTTATACTGTAGTTTTCCGAGGAGTCTATAGCCTCTGAATATCACCTAGGTAAGCTGGAATTTTCTGTTACTGCTTGTTTTTGAACTTGATGTACTTCTTGGAGTCTTTTTCAAAAGACTCGTTCATGTAAGACTATAGCCTGTTGTGGGTCAGAAGAGGCTGAAGAATTCCCAACAGGGATGTATTACTAGTGTGCCCCATCGTGTAATGATACATCCATCCATAATTAGAGGATTGTTAAGTAGAGCATCATCCAAGCTCTTGTCTATTTTGCTTGTACTTTTACCACTTCAGAATGCTTTTTCTACCATTTCAGAACTGCAGCTCATAGAGATATGCTTTTATTCTGTAGTTTGCAATCTTCCATTAAGTATTCAAAGTTCTACTAGTTCTCATTTTTGAAAGAGCCCATTTTGTAATTCACACCTGAGATACCAGTAGAAAGAATGCAGTACTTTCACATCTAGTTGAAGATGTGTGCAGTCGTGTGCCAGGCTCTCATAACATCTGCTTTTTTCATGTTTGGAATAGGTACAGAGTAATCTACATATAACATAAACTCGCTACTTCTGTCTTTATTTCTTGTCTTCCTAGTGATATTCCACCTTCTGGAGAACCAGTGAGCAAAAGCAATCGCTCTAGAGTGACTACCCGCTTCCCCAAACTCTCTCGCAGCCATCAAAGAGAGCCACGAAGCCTGGAACCTCAGAGTGGTGATCTTTGACCCTTTTTCATAATAGTGAACACTGGCACCACGTACTTTAAGTTGTTCTGTGATTCCTTCCTAGCCTATATTTATAATTTAAGCTCCTGAAGAGACTACAGCTGCATCAACTTAAATCCTGAAAGAGACGTTCATTACTAAGGGTCATATCCTGATTAACTACTTTGGAAGGCGGTAATCACTTTCTCAAAAGAATACGAGGGCTCTTCACAAGGGCTCAGCAAACTGATAGGCATTTCCTTTGTTTTGTAAGGCTGCATTGCACAGATCCTCCTTTGTTGTTCTGTTACTATGAATTTCTTGTTTGTATTATGTTTCTTCCTACGTGTACATTTTTCTGTTCCAGAGAGACATGGATATCATGTCAAGACTTTTTATTTTCTTAGAACAGTTATGATTGTCACTACTTAATATGTCAAAAGGATGTGCTTAAAAGAACCTCACTAATTTATTACCTTTTGTAAATAGAAAGACTGAAGTTTTTTTATTGTAAGCCTCTGACATATACAAAGGTTTCTAAAAAAACTTGACATGTAGATGACAAGGGGGAAACATAACAGGTGAAAAAATAACTTTTGTACATTTCTATTTAGATAATCTCAATAACTTTCATTTGTGGGAAGTAATTCTTTAAAATCAGAGAATGTAATAATTTTTTGATGAAATTTCAGTCTTGCTGCAAGGCTGGGTGCAATATTATTGATTTCTACAAAACACCACAAGGAGACACAAAATTAGCCTGGTACAAAATAGTGTTTTCAAGTCTTCGGTTATATTTTGTTATTAATTTGTTGCTGATGTTACAGAACAGTCCATCATTGGAAGGGCAGTTTGGAATTCTAACTCTGATTTTGTAAAGCGCTTCACACAGTGATATTAAAAATTGCCTGTAATGAAAGTGCCTGTTAGCCATCACCTCTTATTGGAAAGTAATTTGTAATGGTACTACTGTAAAAGTGACTAAAAAAATTGACAAGAATTATTACAAGTGATGGAAGTCCTGACATGGATTAACTGGAATCCAGTTCAGTATCCATTAGCTCCACTGCCGTAGGCAGTTAATTATATGTTAGCTATCTTCTTCTCTTCATTAAATTTAAGCAGTGTACATTCAAATTTTCTATCAATTGTATTCTGGTTTTCCTTTGTGTAAGACTGTCTTTCAGTATTTTTTTTGATAATGTTACTTAACATTGATGTATCTTGTAATTTTATTATCCATTCATTTTATTAAATTCTTATGTCAGTAGATATTGAAATCAAATACGACCCTGCAGAGAAAGCAAGCTGATTATTAATTAACAGATTTTTTTACTTCAGTGTTCTACTAAAGTTTTAGCAAACTGGAGCATCTGTTCTGCAAACTTGTGACTATCAAGTATTGTTTGGTCAGGTAAGTGGTCAAGTCATTTTCAGTGTCATCCTTGGGTATGTAGGGGTTCATTACACACAGTGAGTAGCATTACTGGGTTAGTGCCTGGCTACGAACCCCTCCTGCCGTTGAAATATGTAGCTTATAGATTGCACTGAATGGCAAAATGGGGCAAAGAGGAGTGGAATTCACTCTTCAGGTCAGAAATTTCAGTAGATGAAATACCACAAATAAAGTTGTGTCACAAAAATAGTATTTTTCAGTCAGTAAGAGATCTCATGTGCAAACTTAGTAGGTAGATAAATAGAAAATCCAAAAGGCCAGTCTGAGTTTTAATAAAAAACTGAATTACTGTTGATGTTTTGTGTAAGCTGCAGTGGAACATGTTGTTAAGAAGAATGTGAGTAGCTTGTCGGGTAATGATTCCCCAGACTCTTCAGTCTGATACACTGCTGATAGTTTAGTTTGTCTCTTGAATAAAGGCTAGCTGTAATGATGGTCCCACTTAAAACAATTCTAAATTCATTTTTCAGAAAGTGGAAACTTGATTAGTAGAAATATGGCGCACATATATTAACACTGAATTGCAACTAAACCTGAAAGAAAACACTGTGTGGAAACCTTTGTGATGGATCTGTCACACGAAGCTGCATTCATTTTCAGGAAATAATTCACAAATCAAAGTACTCATTCAGAACGTTGCAAATGGTGAGAAATGTCGTTTAGCACAGACTAAATTTATCTGAGTTTTTTAGTTGTTTAGAAGGAATTTTTTTGTTATTTACACTTGGTTCTTCAAATTATTTCATTCCTGATTATTTTACTTCTTGTAATTTTTAATGAATGTACGTAGAACACATAAAAATACTAAACTTGTTTACTGTGTACAAATTGTTCTTCATTAGCTTTAGCTGAATTGTGTATTAGCTCCTAAGATTACTGTCTGCAAACAATGCCCACTTTGTGATCAAGATACCACAAAGGGTGTGTTACTAATCTGCGTAAAAGCTTGTCTGTGGTTTCTCTAAATTCTCAGAAAATAATTAAATTAAAACCTTTCTTCACAAGATACCTTTCCCACTTTATACACCTCGTTATTTTGAAGATACAAACGAGATACTTATATGTCTGCAGGTAGATACGGGGTGATACAATTGCCCACATTTTTAGCATCTCAAGACATTCTGAAATGCCCTGTCTTTGAGAGAATTTTATGTATCTGTCACAGATCCCACTTCCTTTGGTTATTTACCAGAATCAGCAAAGACTGCTGGAAAGGTTGACCAGCTGATACTAAGAATCCCAAAGAGTTATATAATTCTTTTAAAATGCCTGTAAGCATAACGATGATTCTATCAGTTGAATTACTTTTAGGTTTATCCTGGGTCACCTAATTCCGTGTACGTAGTTACAATTTTTGTACAAATCTCATGTCCTCTGTTACTGACTGAGAGCTCTTAAACCCTTGTATGTGCTTAGTGGCCGGTGCACAGTGAGTTCATGGGTTCAACCAGTTGTTGGCTCCTTTGAACAGCTCTGTCATTGCAGGACAGAGGACTCGGGACCGGCTGGAGCTGTTCCTGCAAGCCTTAGGCTATGGCCCGCTGTGAAGCGGTGCAGAGGAATTTGTAATATTGTTTCCATTTCATTCCTGTTTAATCTTTAGATCTATTAGGTCTCTAGGGCTGCTCATCTGGAATATTTGGTGATTATTCAAAATTGTACATGAAGTGGCACTACTTTTATTTTAATGCTTTTCTCCGATTACATGCAAACTCAACCATTTCCTAAGAAACAGGGCAGGGAAAACTTCCATCTTTTGCAGATGTGATTGTCTATCAGTGTTCGTTACATATCGACTATGGCTTTTCGGAATCTCATTCTTTAGTCAGAGATTCTGTCATTCATTATAGAGCATGCATTGTATCGACTTGTGTGTTGCATTATATCAAGTCTCTCAGTCGTAACAATAAATTTCCAAGGTTTATATGAGGCAGAATATTGACATAGTTATAAAGGCTTAAATTGATATGTCCATGAAGTCACATACTCTTAGGAAGATTAATAATTCCAAAGCCAGTCTTTTTTATAGAAGATATTGTTGATGTAATAAAATAATACTGTCTTAGAAAATCTACAGCAAGTCACTAACCGTTGTGGTTGGATTAATACCAGTATTTAAAGAAGGGGCATAATGATATTGAAGCTCACTGTCTCGAAATTGTCCATTTTTTTGTTACAAAGTAATGTTATATAAAAATCTGCATGGTCGCTGTCAAAATAATTAATAAGAACGTACTAACAAATGGGGTTGACTGACTCAGAGCAGCAAGCTAATAAGGAATAAGACTTGGTGAACCCCAGGTGAACTAATGATACTGTCTGTCAGGACATATTAATGATTTAGGAATATGACATTTTGTTAACAGATGGGTATAGTACTTTCAGATATGGATGGCATTCTTTTTGCTTCAAAGCACACAGGAATCTCAGCTCTGCTGTAGGTTTCATGCTGTTTCAAAGGGTCAGACTCCCACCCCAAAACATTTTTCATCTAATATCTTGTAATTCCGAGGACAGATAGTACATACCTGTGGGTAGACATACAGTTACCTGCTTGAAATTACCATGACTAACCTGTGTAACAGCTGTTTATAAAGAAAGAAAAAGACTTTGTCACCAAATTCTCTTCCTATACACCCTTGAAAATCTTGGTAACAGCACTATGCTTTTCTAACTGAAACTCTAGTATATATGAAAATAAGCATGTTTAACATGAGAACACAATTTTCTTCTAGGAAAGAATAATAAACTTCTGTATTTGAGCTCGAGCCACTTCTGGAAGAGTGGTTAAACAATTCAGGAAAGTAAAGAATTTATCTCCTTCATATCTGTAGATTACGATATTTCAGTCAGCACCCTGCATCATGTGAAATATTAATTTGGTGATTATTTAGTAATTTCTGTAGTTTCTTAGCATTATGTATTGAAAGAATCACCTTAATATATGAAAATATATATAAAATATAGAATATGTTTAAAAGTATCAATTAACCTGCTTTATTTTGCATATTGAATGGAAGAGAAAACACTTGATTACACAGTGGTCTGCCACTGTACATTTAATTGATTTCCTATTCTGCACTACCTGTGCTTTATGATCCAGTTAGAGATAACTTAGATTATATATAAAATTTCTTCTAAAAAATAATCAGAGCATACTTTTAATTAATAATAATAGTGGCTTAATTTTTGGTTAATAATGGCATGAATTTATATTAGAAAGCAGCACTGAAGTGTTTAGAGAGAAATAGATTTTCCAGATTTACAAATTGCTGCAAATATCTAGACTTAATTATTTTGTTGTTGTTGTTGCATTGAAACAAATGTATTGCACTTCTATGTAAGGGGAATCAGTTTCTTTTAACAAGATTTTGGAAATAATGTCCACACCATGACAGAAGTTAAACTGTGGTAGTTGTTTTTTTTGAGTGGACTATTAATCCTTAAAGATGCTAAAGATTATAGAAATGTAAATGTGGTTGAAAATCTAATTCTGAAAGGCCGTGCTTTCTTTCTTACTTAACACTGAGATAAATAACTGTCTTTTATGTGGGACCAAACCTGT